TTTCAGAGCTGGAGCGTCGGTGTCCATTCGAACGACATGACCAAGCCAGCGGAGCCGCTATATTTTAATTCGCTGCACTATGTCCATATCGTTGTAAAGCTCATACAGCTCATCGTTCCATCGTCTGCGGTACTCGCCGTCGCCAACGCGAAAAGGACCGTAAATCTTCCGCAAAATCTTTCTGTCAAACACTCCAAGAGCCGCCTCATCTGATGTTGTCATTGTACATGCTTCTGTGCCATATACCAGCACGGGCATGATGAGTGACTTATAGAGCGTGGTTTTCGTACGACGAGAGAGGACTTTACTCCTGAATTGCCTACTCACTTGCACTTGTTGGCAAGAGTGATTCTGCGTTGGATTTCAATGCTGACATTATTATCGGTGTTAATGCTGGTTCCCAAGTAAACGAAATTCTCTACTTTCTCGAAATTGTAACTGTCAACAGTGACGTGGGTGCCAAGGCGTGAATGTGCTGACTGTTTGTTTGATGACAGGAGATACTTCGTCTTGTCCTCGTTTACCACCAGACCCATTCGCTTTGCTTCCCTATCCAACTTGGAAAAGGCAGAACAGACTTCGCGGTTTTTCTTACCGATGATGTCAGTGTCATCGGCATAAGCCAGTAATTGTACGCTCTTGTAGTAAATTGTTCCTAAGCGGTTCAGTTCTGAAGATCTTATTATCTTCTCCAACATCAGATTAAAGAAGTCACATGAAAGGGAGTCGCCCTGTCTGAAATCCCGTTTTGTGGCGAACGGCTCGGAGAGGTCTTTCCCAATTCTGACGGAGCTGGTGGTATTGCTCAACGTCATTTTACACAGCCGTATAAGTTTTGAGGGGATGCCAAATTCAGACATAGCGGCGTATAGGCAACTCCTTTTAGTGCTGTCAAAGGCGGCTTTAAAGTCGACAAATAGGTGGTGAGTGTCTATCCTTTTCTCGCGGGTCTTTTCCAAGTTTTGGCGTATTGTGAATACCTGGTCTATGGTGGATTTTCCAGGTCTAAAGCCACACTGAAAAGGCACAATCAGTTCATTGACGGTGGGCTTAAGTCTTTCACACAGTACGCTCGATAAGACCTTGTAACCTATGCCTAGAAGGCTGATCCCGCGGTAGTTGGCGCGAATGGCGGGGTCACCTTTCTTGTGGATTGGGCACAGCACACTTAAATTCCAGTCGTCGGGCATGCGTTCATCTGACCATATTCTGCACAAGAGTTGATGCATGCACCTTATCAACTCCACGCCGCCGTACTTGAATAGCTCAGCTGGCAGGCTGTCAGCTCCATCAGCTTTGTTGTTTTTCAGCCGCGTCATTGCTATACGTACCTCGTCATAGTCAGGCGGTGGAACGTCGACTCCGTCATCATCGACTGCGGGCTCGGGTTCTTCTTCTCCACAACATTCCGTGCTGCTTCCATTTAGTAGGGCGGAAAAGTGTTCCCTCCATAATTTAAGTACGCTCTGGACATCAGTTACTAGGTCGCCATTATTGTTCTTACAGAAGTACGCCCCGGTCTTTAAGCCTTCCGTAAGTCGCCTAACTCTCTGGTAAAATATTCGGGCATTCTTCCTGTGGGCCAGCATTTCAAGCTATTCGCACTCACGTGTTTCGGCCTCTCTCTGCTTATTGCGGCAAATACGTCTCGCTTCCCTCTTCAGATCCCTATAGCGGTCCCACATAGCGCGCGTTGCGCCCGATCGCAGCGTGGCCCTGTAGGCGGCATCTTTTTTTTCTGCAGCTTCCTGACACTCCTCATCGTACCAGTTATTCTTTCGGGCTCGCTGAATTCCGACTACTTCTTCGGCGGCGGTACTTAATGAGCGGGAAATGTGGTTCCACTGCTCGCATATGTCGGTTTGTTGAAGAGTGCTCTCTGAGAGCAGGTGTGAGAGTCGAGTAGCGAAAGAGCTGGCCTTCCGTCTATCACAACATGATCGATTTGGTTTCTCGTTTTTCGATCCGGAGACTGCCACGTAGCTTGATGGATCTTTTTATGCTTGAACCTAGTACTGCATACTACCATGTTTCGGGCCCCGGCGAAGTCGATCAGCCTCAATCCGTTGCCGGACGTTTCGTCGTGGAGGCTGAATTTTCCGACGGTGGTTCCAAAGATCCCTTCCTCTCCCACCCTGGCATTGAAGTCGCCAAGCACGATTTTGATATCATGACTGGGGCAGCGCTCGTATGTGCGCTCCAAGCGCTCATAGAAGAGATCCTTGGATGCCTCATCCTTCTCTTCCGTCGGGGCATGGGCGCAGATGAGCGAGATGTTGACGAATCTCGCTTTGACGCGGATTGTGCTAGACGCTCGTCCACCGGGGTGAACGACAGTACTCGGCGACGGAGTCTCTCTCCCACCACAAATCCAACACCGAATTTGCGCTCCTTTACAAGGCAGCTGTAGTAGATGTCGCAAGGCCCCAGACATTGCTTGCCTTGCCCCGTCCAACGCATTCCTTGGATGGCGGTGATGTCAGCTTTTGTCCTTACGAGGACATCAACCAGCCGGGCAGAGGCACCTTCCCCATTAAGGGTCCGGACATTCCAGGTGCATGCCCTCAAATCGTAGTCCTTTAAATGTTTGCCGTGGTCGTCATCACAAGGGGGGGCTTTGCCTTGCTTCTTCACTGGAAGTGGTTTCTACGTGGCGGGTCCCAAGCCCAGCACACAACCCATTGCTGGGACGGGGGTGGTTTCGCAACCAAATACACGTTTATATAGCGAGCCGCTTGCTCCAAGCAGACACCCGCTTGCAGCCGCACCTACTGGTGAACAGACGCTGCAGACTTCAGTGAGCCCTTAAACCGAATAAGTCGGAGTGGTCCCACCGAAGCTCCCTCTCTTTCTGCCGTGACCCAAGGCTCCACTCTGATTGGTTACCGCATCTCGCACATGGGTTGCTCACGTTGCCCAGAGTGCGCGAACGAGGACGCAAGAGTCGGGATTGAGTATAGCCATGCAACTGTAACTGCATACCCAGCGCAACGACTATACCCCATTGCATTCTCGTTGTCACCATTACCTAACATTATAAAAAAGTTAACTCTTAATCATAAACAATTTCGTTTGGGGTCGCCATAGCACATAGCGAGTAAAGAAATTTTGAATAACATTGGACAATATTATTATGATTATGATTGTTATTACTTTTGTGAACTCCTATACACAATCAAATATTCCCAAATTAAAGTGAAATCAGAAGCGCATTTACGATCGCATGATGCAAATGTTAAGATAATAAGAGCTGCAGAACTGAACCACGCAGGACCAATTTTTTACAAGGACGGGTAATTTCTGTCGTATGCCGATGACATCGACATAATCGGTAGCAAAAATCGCGAAGTCTGCGCTGCTTTTTCCAAGCTGGATAAAGAAGCAAAGCGAATGGGCCTGGTGGTACAGACGAAGGACAAGACGAAGTAGTATCTCCTGCCATAAAATAAACACTCAGCGCATTCTCGTCTTGGCACCCACGTCACTATTGACAGTTATAATTTCGGGAAAGTGGAAAATTTCGTTGAGTAGGGAACCAGCATTATCACCGATAAAGATATCAGCATGGAAATCCCACACAGAATCACTCTTGCCAAGAAGTGCTACTTTAGACTGAGTAGGCAATTCGGGAGTAAAGTCCACTCTCGACGTACAAAAACCACAGAAGCTTAGACAATGACAACATTCGATGAGGCGGTTCTTGGAGTATTCGAGAGAAAGTTGAACTAAGACCAACAAAAATAGAAACATATTTTGGTACGGCAAATGTTAAAGCTCTTTTGATCGATTTTTTTGTGCTGATACGAATCCGTAAGTATAAAGTGTCCATCAAAAAATCGCATTTTATAAGCTCTAGCAAAGAAGAAAAAGGTGATAGAACCTTCCTAGAACTCTCGACTGCACCATTGCTGCTCCTTGACTTGATGGTCGCTTACTCATTTGTTATATAGTTACATTTATTATACGTTTCAAAAAGAAGTGTCGTTGAAATTGGTTATTGTGGTACACCAACTGTAAATTGAATTCTTGTACAAAAATATATCTTTCTCGTGATTCCAGAAAATTATAAAATTATAAAAATAACAAAATAAAGTATATTCCGTTTAGGTGCCTCTTCGCCTCGGTGCATTTTCCCGCTTATGTACACAATACTAATAAGTCATAATACTCGCTAGTGTAATTTTGTAATATTGTACGTTCCAAAAACGTGTAATGTGCAAATATAGGACTTTACATAAAACGTACGTTTCATAAAGTGCACGCGATCGAAAGGGGTCAAAATCCAATGCATACTATACTTTTCAAATACAATATTTGACTGCAATTTTTTTATTTTTATTGGTTTCCATTCACTTAGTTCGTTTGTGCTTAAATCGCTATTTTAAATAACTTTCGTTTTTCTCTAAATAAATGGTAACCATTAGCCGTTGAATCCACAATACACTTCGTTCTCCTAATTGCAAAGAGAAACAATGTACTCACCATTAGGCTATTTAAATAAACAAGTTTTAGAATATATTAAAATTTGTTTTTGTTATTTATGGCCTTTTAACAATTATATTCAACAATTTTTATTGTGCTTGAGGGAGTTTCTAATGAACAAATGTTGTGGAAAAACAAGAATAATTAACCCATAGGTAGAAGTTATAGCTACTATCATATCTCCTCATTAGACTTCTTCACCGCGGTCACTGGGATATGAACCATTAGAAACGGCCTCAAGCTCGCTCAATAAAAATTGTTGAGATCTTAAAATATTTTTTACCATTATTATCTCAAACTAAACGATGACAAATTTTTATGCATATTTCCATCCAACAGGGGGTTCGAACCGCCCCTACCTTCTTTCCCGGTAACCTTGTACGTACTATGCGCGATTCGCCTTGCACAAACGTTTTCAATTGAAACTACTGAATATTTAATTACCTACATACAAACAATCTATAACTTAACTTTTTAGTTCGTAAAAAATAATTTCGTAATTGGTTATTTAATTGCAGGAGAAATTCACATGGACGTCAGATAATGGAGGTCGTATATTAATACAAGATTCTTGTTTGCAAAATCTAACAGATATTGAGGCAAAAATTCTGCAACGTGTGGCTATAGAAAAGATAAACGAACTTAATATTGGAGTTAATGTAGTACTGGGTATGTACATGTTATATCATATGAAAAAATTATGTACAATTACGAGCAGTCTGAGATAAAACCCTCGCAGGTTTCGCGTCCTTTGTGCAGAGAGTATTTAAAATACAAGTATACAAAATATGTACGTATTTGCAGGGACCGAAAAAAAACAGTTATTTTTTTTTTAAGTCACCTTGGCCAAATATTTTTAAGTTTGAAATAAAAGTCATTTCTTGATAATAATTTAAATTTTGTTTCAAATGAAAGAGGACGGAAATAGATTTTAAACAGAAATGACGAACGAAGGTTACCACCTCTATTTATATTTTTTTGTTTTATGTAAAGTCATTCGTAACAACCAAGAATATCATTGTTTTATTTAGAGTATTCAGCATATTGTATTTAATTGTGGATATAATTCAGCACAACTCAAAGAAAAGTCACATGCAATTCACCGAGGTATACAGTAAATAAAAATTCTTTTAACATCCAGTCAAGATCAATATCCAGTTTGCGATGAATATTGAGAAAATCTAGCCCATTGTGTGCTCGTTTTCTGCCGATGCCTGCACATGCATGATGATATTCATTGAATGGTTTTAAAAACTCTAACTAAATAGGGGAGCGAAGGGTATTATTGACCACATTAGGACAAATTTCTGTAGAAAAAAACGGAAATCTAAATTTTTGCTAATTTTTAATTTATAACACAGCCCTACGAAAATAGAAAAAAAAATATGGTACGGCAAATGTTAAAACTGTCTTTGATAGACTTTTTTATCCGTAAGCATAAAGTTTCCATCAGCTCCAAATTTTGAAAAAAAGGTTAAAATGTCAAAAAATCGCGTTTTTTGCAATATTTTAGAAGCTCCAGCAAAGAAATAAAAGGGAATAGAACCTCCAGGTTTAATTTAAAGTTAGAACTCTCGACTATCTCTGAAAATATCATTCCTGCACCTTGACTTGAGGCTCACTTAGAAATTTGTTGTATACTTTTATTTTGCTTTTATTTTATTTTAGACAAAATTAGGAACAAGTTGAATCAAATTTTCGAGTGATTATTATAGGTTTCAAAAAGAAGTGTAATTGATATTGTGGTACACCAACTGTAAATTGAATCCTTGTATATCTTTCTCATGATTCCAGAAAATTATAAAAATAACAAAATACAGTATATTCCGTTTAGGTGCCTCTTCGCCTAGGTGCATTTTCCGCTTACGTGCACAATTTCACCAAAATACTGCATCATGTAATGGATTTTGTACGAAAATTCCACTTTTAGCTGCATTTTCGGTTAGGAGCCCTTTTCCGTTTAACAGCCTTCTTTTTGAGTGAGTTTTTTTCGATTTGTACCAAAAATATTTCGCTTACCGGCACTAAGTTTTTTTAAAAGCTCTTTATGCTTAACACATATCTATCCCTATTCAATACCTGCAAAACTACCCATAAACGCATGCTATGATACTCTCTTTTGAAGTTTATCGCATGAGTGCATGCATATATCTTACTAATATTATAAATGTGAAAGTTTGTATGTTTGGATGTTTGGGAAATCATCACGCGGAAACGACTGAACGGATTTGCATGAAATTTAGTACGCAGATAGCTTATGGGTCAGATTGGTTAATAGGCTATTTTTTTAAGAGTTGCCACCTGTAAAAAGTTTAATGTATTTAATATGCGGAAACGACTGATGGATTTGCATGGAAATTTGCACACAGATAGCTTGTGACCTAGATTGTAAAATAGGCTACATTTCTTAAGAGTTTCCACCTGATAAAAAAAATTTAATTAAAGTGATACGCGGAAACGACTGAATGGATCTGCATGAAATTTTGCAAGCAGATAGCTTATGACCTACAGTGGAAAATAGGCTAATTTTTGGAAGAGTTGCCACCTGTTAAAAAAGTTTAATTAAATTAATACGCGGAAACGACTAAACGGATTTGTATGAAATTTTGCACACAGATAGCTTATGACCCAGGTTAGAAAGTAGGCTACTTTTTTAAGAGTTGCCACCTGTTAGAAATGATTAATTTAATTAATACGCGGAAATTAGTGAACTGATTTGCATGAAAGTTTTCACACAGATAGCTTATGAGCTAGGTTGAAAAATAGGCTACCTTTTTTAAGAGTTACCACCAGCTAAAAAAGTTTAATTAAATTAATACGCTGAAAAGTCTGAACGGATTTGCATGAAATTTTGCAAGCAGATAGCTTATGACCTTCAGTGGAAAGTAGGATTATTTTTTGGAAGAGTTGCCAACTGTTAAAAAAGTTGTAATTAAATTAATACGCGGAAACGACTGAACAGACTTGCATGACATCTCGCACAGAGATAGCTTATGACCCATGTTGGAAAATAGGCTACTATTATAAGAGTTATCACGTATTAGGAAAGTTTAATTAAATTCATACGCGTAAATGACTGAACTGATTTGCATGAAAGTTTGCACACAGACAGCTTATGACCTAGACTGGAAAATAGGCTACTTTTTTAAGAACTGCCACTTGTTTGAAAATGAAATTTTGTTCAAAGATGGTTTATGACCTGGATTGAAAAATAGGCTACTTCCTTAACCGGTTTTCCGACTCCGGTTTTAGTACACTTACTACGGATTTCGGAAGGATGGTCTTAGACTGAAAGTAAGTCCGATAACTGAAGGCCCCCCCCATACAAATTGGAATTTTCATATTAAATACATATCTCTGGAAGTATTTGTGGGAGAGAACTGAAACTTGGTATAGTGATATGTATGTGAACTCAATGATGGCATTATCGATTGATGTTTTAATCAGTTAGTTAATTCGATTAAATTCAATCTGATTACAGTTAATCATGATTAATTTTAATCTGACTAAACAGTTAATAGTAACCGCGATTAAAAAATTAACTCCCAATTTATGTATTACTAATAACAATAATTATAATTTTTTTATATTATGTGCTTTTTATAAGCGTAAAACACAAAATAATTACTATAACTGTAGAATGGAATTTTGGAAAGTGGAATTTTTTATCAGCTATAACTTCGGAACCATAAGTCTCACGAACTTGAAATTTGGTATGCAGACATATCAATGGCAGGTGCTTATAGGCGGGAATGTATAAACGAGTTTGTAAAAGGGAGCGTGGCACATCCATAGGCGTGAAATTTTTTATCACCTATAACTTCGGAACCATAAGTCACACGAACTTGAAATTTGGTATGCAGACACATCAATGGTTGGTGCTTATAGGAGGGTATATATAAACGAGTTTGCAAAAGGGGGCGTGGCACATCCCATAGGCGGGGAATTTTTTATCAGCTATAACTTCGGAACCATAAG